CCTTAAGGGCGTCTAGGTTGTTTTCAGTGTCTTAATCTCACAATGACACGTCCTCAGCCTCCTTGTAGAGTCGTCTTTGCACACTCGTTCAGTTACTTCCTTTGTATCAATTCCGTAAAGTACGGGCTGGTCCGGTGGCGTAGTGGTTAAGTTCATGCGTGGCCCTGGGTTTGCTGGTGAGGATCCTGGGCGCAGACCTACACACTGCTCATCAAGCCATGCCGTGGTGGCGTCCCACATACCAAATAGAGGAGGACTGGCACAGATGTTAGCTCAGGGCCAATCTTCCTCACACACACACAAAAAAATCCATAAAGTAGAATCACTTGGTGAAAGCACTGTATTTTTCTGTATTCACTGGTTCTGTTATTATTACCACAAAAGCACTTGTTTCGCCTGAAGAATTCCAATTGCACAGAAGAACACAAAGCAAGAAGTACAAGTCATTCTGCCTACCTTATTCCAGATCCTCCTCAATCCTATAACTAAGAAATAACTTGTGACCTTTGGAAACTGTGTCCGGGTGTATGTCATGTGCATACGTGTATACATGTAACTATGTACATGCATGTCCCCCTTAAGTGCAAAAAGGTCATCATTTTATATGTACTATTATACAAACTTTTTTCCCTTGATGTAATTTGGACATGACCCATGATACAATATAAATTCTTTTAAAATATTGTAAAGTATTTCATTGTGTGGACTGATTATTATAAAGTATTTAACACATTCCCTATTGATGGAAATTTTGGTTGTGACCAGTCTTTGGCTGTTATAAACAGGGCTGTAATGACCATCCTTGCATGTATGTGCTACAGTGAACATCTTTGCCTGTGTGTACATGGATGCATATGCAAATAGCCTCAGAAATAGTATTTTGGCATCAAAAGCTATAGGAATTAAATATTTTATAAGAGACTTTTTAAAAATGCCCTTCAGAGAGGCAGAGCAGTTGGCATTGCCTCCAGCGAGGACCTGAGTGAGCTGTTTTTCCACAGTCCTGTCGATACCGAGTATCATAAACAGCTTTGTACTTTGCTAGTCAAAGAAGCAAAGAAAGGATGTCTCCTTGTGGTTGTGTTGTGATTAGCCCAGTTTCCCAGGTTGTTATTGGTTTTTTATTTTGTTTACACTTTTCCATTTTTCTTGCCTTGCCAATTGTTTTGTAAATAGGCAAATCTCTTACTATAAAGCTTCTGAGTTTCGCATCAGGCTTAGAAAGCCTTTCCACACTCCAAGATTATTTGTTAGCGTGACTGAATCAAAACCGAAACGGGAGCCCATCTTTTTCCTCACTTGCATGACTCGCGAACAGAAATGTCAAGTGATTACAGGATCCCAAGAGCTTCTCATATCTAACGCATGCATTCATCACAGTAGACAGCAAAAGCAGTCTCGTAGATTATTTGCTGCTAAAAAAGGTCAAAGTTAGACTCCAAGGCATGAGTCAAAAGGGGAAAAGTCAAACAATATTGTAAGCACAAAAAGGCAATACAAACAGCAAGATAAAACATCCTTTATTTAACATTTAACAGCATACAAATCAGCAAGCATGTTTAAATAAGAGCAATGTTTTCGTGAGTTTTACTACATTCCCCATTCCAGTTTGGGACCAATGTTGACACAGTGATGCATCCTGGAGTCGGGTCCTGCATTTTGCTTCTGTGGCATGAAATACCGGAAGTCCAGTCCTGCACATGCAGCTTACAGCAGAGGCAAGAGCGCAGCTTGCCCATCCTGCTGCCTTTCGGCCCTGCTTCAAAAGTTACACGCCGCTTCACATTTGACGGCCCACATCTTTCCACGTGCTTGTCGGTCATTTGTTTATCTTCTTTGGAGAAATGCCTGTTCAAGTCTTCTGCCCATTTTTTATTTGGGTTCTCTTTTTACTATTGCGTTGTCAGATTTCTTGATATATTCTAGATACCAGTCCCTAATCAGATATATGATTTGCAAATATTTTCCCCTGTTCAGTGAGTCATCTTTTCGCTTTATTGATGGTGTCCTTGGAGGCATAAAAGTTTTTCATTTCGACAGAGTGCAATTTATCTACTTTTTCTTTTGCTGCTATGCTTACATACTTTTTTTTTCTGCTTTATCTCCCCAACCCCCCCGCCGTACACAGTTGTATATCTTAGTTGCATGTCCTTCTAGTTGTGGGATGTGGGACGCTGCCTCAACGTGGCCTGACGAGCAGTGCCATGTCCATGCCCAGGATCCGAACCCTGGGCCGCCACATCAGAGCACGCGAACTTAACCACTCGGCCATGGAGTCGGCCCCCCACATACTTTTTTTAAGTGAGCTAAAATTCATATAACATGAAATTAACCATTTTGCATGCACTAGAAAAAAATAATTTTCCCAACAATGGATAAATGGATAAGGAAGATGTGGTATATATATGCAATGGAATACTACTCAGCCATAAAAAAGACAAAATCATGCCATTTGCAACAACATGGATGGAACTTGAGGGTATGATGCTAAGTGAAATAAGTCAGACAGAGAAAGACAAATACTGTATGATTTCATTCATATGTGGAAGGTAAACAAACATTTAGATAAGGAGAACAGATTGGTTGTTACCAGAGCGGCAGGGAAGGAGAAAGGGGGAAAGGGGCACACATATATGGTGATGGATAAAAAGGAGACTATTGGTGGTGAACACGAGGCAGTCTGTACAGAAACTGAAATATAATAAGGTACACCTGAAATTTACACAATGTTATAAGCTGATACGACCTCGATAAAAAAAAAATTTGTCGCAAAAATGCAAGTGGCATATTAAAAAAAAAAAAAACACCCAGGAAAAAAACATTGCTAAAATCTAATATTGTTGCAATCTGAAGAGAGAAAAAGGATCATGATTATCATTTATTGAGTGCTAACCAAGCACCGTGCAGAGCTAAGTGACCTGGCTCAGTGGTTCTCAAAGAGGGGTGATTTTGCCCCCATCAGGGGACATTTGGTAATGTCTGGAGATATTTTGGTTGTCATAACTCGGGGGGTGGGGTGCTACTGCATCTAGTGGGTGGAGCCCAGGGACGCTATTAAACATCTTGCAGTGCACAGGACGGCCCCACGACAAAGAGTTCCCTGGCCCAAATGTCAGTCGTGCTGAGGTTGAGGAACCCCTGATCTATTTCCATCAATTGTCCCCTTTGACAGATAAGGAGACTTATCTTAGAGAGAGTAAAGAACTCATGTGAAACCACGCAGTTGTAGGCAGGAGGACCAGGACGGAAGCCCAGGCAGCCAGTCTCCAGAATGCCCACCCCTCCTGAGGCAGGACATCAGAAAGAGGATGACTTTGTGAGAAGATCTCTTGGAGAGGAAGGAATCCAAAGGTTATCGCTGAGAAGTCTCGCATTCCTAGTCCACAGTCTGATCGTTCATTGAGCCAGCATCGTGCAATGAGCAATCGGGTCTAGCTAACCTGAAGCTGAGCAGGATGCTTTGCTCTGGAAAATTCTCCAAAGGCAGGCAAATGGGCTCCATAATAACCTCGATATGGTTCTAGAATATGCGTATTTTTGCTCCTCAGAATTACAATGGGGCTTTGTAGAAATATAGGTCCCTGGGGCCCAGTCAAAGCTGTGAAATGTCATCCTCCGGAGTGGGGCCCTGGAATCTGCATTTTCAAAAGTCCTCTGGTTTCTCAAGTGCAGTATTCACGCAAGGACCATATCCTGGGGTAGCTAGGACTGTTTTCAGATGTGTGACTTGTTCCTCTGGCCTGGATCATCCTCTTGATTGTTTTAATCACTTCAGGATTAATAAGAAGCTTTAGGAACTCTAGAGACAGAAATCAACCTAGGAATATCTCTCTCCACTAATTTCCTCCCAGATAATATTTAGCAACGTCGAGTGTGTTCGTTATCTACTCTTGTGTAACAAATAATCCAAACTTAGTGGTATAAAACAACAGTAAACAACAAAAATTCAGGAGCAGCTCAGCGGGGCACTCCAACATGGGGCTCTCTCATGAGGTTGCAACCAAGGTGTCAACCGGGCATCTGGTCATCTGAAGGCTTCACTGGGGCTGGAAGATCCACTTCCAAGATGGCGCCCTCGCATGGCTGGCAAGTTGGTGCTACCTGAGTGTCCTTAAGACGTGGCAGCTGGCTGCCCCCAGAGTGAGTAAGCTGAGAGATAACACGAGGCAGAGACTATCCTTTTTATGACCTAGCCTCAGAAGTCATGTAGCATCATTCTGCCACATTCTACTTCTCTGAAGCAAGACATTAAGTCTGGGCCACATTCAAGGGGAGGGAAATTAGGCCCCACTTTTTGAAAGGAGGGGTGTCATAGAATTGGGGGACGTATTTTAAAACCATCACATCCAGCTCTTACCCATGCTGCCTTCAGCTCTCTGCTGAAGGCGAGATTCTTTGACTGTCCGTACACTCCTTGCCTCAAAAGGTGGCATGGCTTGCCTGGAGAGGAGGGTGGGCCCAGAAGGCTCGCCACTCCCATTCCACTGCCATCATGTACAGGAACTGTTCTAGCAACAAGACGGGGAAGAGATGTGTTCTGATCCCTTTTTAATTCCTTTCCTGGGGCAGAAAGGGCAAGCTCATGATGGAATCTGGTCACAACTCACTCGCCTCATTTGGTACACTGAAGAACGTGTTTCTCCCTGAACTCTTGTTTTAAATAGCAACACAGATTAAAAACAAAGTTAAATTTTAAAGATAGAAATTTTTAGCGGGAAAATGGAAGGCTTACATGTTCTCCTCCCCTTGTTATGAAATGCAGAATTTACTGGGTAAATAAATTCTATCTGCCTTAAAAAACAATAGAAAACACTGCTAGTCTGTTATCTGTGAGACAGAAAAACTTTTACCCAGAAGTGTCAAAGAATCTCAGACCACCCATCAATGGATGAATGGAGAAAGAAGATGTGGCATACAAACAATGGACTACTACTCAGCCATAAAAAAGATGAAATCTTGATATTTGCTATATAATGTTATAAACCTATGTTACTTCAATAAAATACATATATATTAAAAAAAAAAAAACTCAGACCTCATGGGGGAAATGGTGAATTTTCCTAAGAGTTTCTCAAAACTGAGTATGTAATGGGATAATATATACACAACAGAGTTTGCTAGCTCCCTTCCCAATATCCATTCCACAGTTATTCTTTGCTAACAGAGCCTAAACTGTACTCAAGTGGGCAACGTGCCCAGCTTAAGAACTACATTTCCCAGCCTGCTTTGCAGCTAATGGAGGATGAGGAAATAAGAAGAGGAAGTCACCGGGTGGGGCTTCCAGGAAAGCTATTTAAAGGAAACTGACTTAGCTTGCCTTCTTGCTCTTGCTACTTCCTCTTTCCTGCTTCCTGGAACACAAACAAGAGAGTAAGGGCTGCAGCAGCCATCTTTGACCATGAGGTGACCTTAAGGAAGGAAGCCATATGCTAAGGATGGCGAAGCAGAAAGGAGGAAGTTTCGGGTGAATTTGTGGGTGTCCCTGGGCTACCTCTAGACTTTTTTTTTAAGTAGCGAAAAAGCCCTCTAATTTATATAAGCAACTGTGGGCAGGTCTCTGTACCAACAGCTGAAGACAATTCATTACTCTTTATATATGTAAAGCTCATGGTAATTTGCACAGTGCTAATTAAATGGAATAGTCCATAGTTTGGGGGAGATTCGGGGTTGTTTGTGCGTTGGCTTTGCTTTCACCCACTGTATTTATGCAACTTTTCCCCATTACAACAGGGTGTTCCCTCCATGGCCGGTCCTCAGCCTGCAACTGTGGCTGCAAGGTGCTGCTGGTTACCAGGTAGGACTCAGGTTAAGAATGGGACTCTCATTCTGACTCTCTCTGAGGGGTGGCTCGCAGGCAGTTAAATGCCCTTTCAGAAAGACTGCCCGCAGTCTTCCTACTTGCGGCAACTTTGCGGGTGGTACCCAGAGCCCGGATTGGAGGCACGGTTCAGCACAATGGTGATGTCGCGAAGGGGGCCTCATAATAGACTGTGCTTCTCTGGTCTCCTGCTGCTGACTGATGCCTTGATGTCCCTGAAAAGTGTGACAGCTCTAAAAGCAAAAACAAGGCTCAGGTCCGTTTGCCGGGGCGGGCATCATAAGCGGTCCAGCCTCTCCCTGAGGCAAGATGTCTACACAATAGATTCGCACTGTCTGACCACAGCCTGCATCCTGAAACAGCAGTCACTCAGCCCTCATATTCGATCCACTGTTCCGTGATTCTCACACGAATCACCTCGAGGTAGCGTGGACTACAGAGTCTGGTTCTGTCCGTCTGGGGTGGGGCCCAAGTCTGCTTTTCCAACCAGCTCCCAGCAATGCCGAGGCTGCTGGTCCACAGGCCTCATCTTGAGCGTGAAGGCACTTTCTGGCTCTTCTCACCACACAGATCCCGGTCTCTCAGGCACCTTCTGGTCATTCAGGTCTCCGTTCAAACATCACTTCCTCCGAGCAGCCCTCCCTGACCAGCCAGTCCAAAACAGAGCTCCCCAACCCCCTTTGCTTTTTGCCACTTCACCGAGAGTTCTGTTCCTGGTGCTTATGCATCTTGGGATGAACAAGGCATATTCATTCTCTCACTTGCGTGTCCATCTCTCCTCAAACCCACTAGAACATTCCATGAGAGCAGAGACCATGTCGGCCTGCTGCCCTGTTCATCTCTCCATCTCCAGCGCCTAGAACAGTGCCTGGCACACAGTAGGTGCTTGGTAAATACCTTCAGCCAGAACGTCCTTCCAGAGATGAGGTACTCACTCTCTGATATCTTACGACTTGAAAGAAACATTTATTTCTGTTGAGGAAAGTACTGTGTCTGCTATGAAGAAAACTTCAAAAAATATGAAGAAGAGACAATTACCTGGGGTGGGTTCTCCCAGAGGTGGAACCTGAAACAAGGATGAGACGGCAAGTAGTTGACTTGGGAGGTGACCCCGGGACAGGGAAGCCAGGTGAGGAAGGCCAGGAGATAATTTGGGTATGTTAATGAGCAGGTTATTCGCTGTGGGCAACTGGGGTTCAGTCCCACTGGGGACCTCCAGGACTGAGGAAGCTGGGGCCCTGTCCATCACTGGTTGAGGTTTGGTTGCCCCAAGGGCGTGTGCATGCCATGGAGATACAGGCGAGCACCAACGGGGTCTGCCGTGCAACAGGTCTGTCCGGTATACAACCTTATTGTCTTCTCTAGGAACTGCCTGCCCACCACCCTATCCGCGGGTCACCGAGAGGAACCCCTAGAAGCCTTGTTTTGGGGACCACCACCAGCCCACCCATTTCCAGCCTATGTGCAAACTAGGACAAAGTTCCTCAAATTATTTTTTTCATTGAGACGTAATTCACACGCCATTCAATCCACCGTTTTAGGGGCCGGCCCGGTGGCATAGTATGTGCGTTCTGATTCAGCAGACCGGGGTTTGCAGGTTCAGATCCCAGGTGTGAACCTACACACCACTTATCAAGCCATGTTCTGGCAGCATCCCACATAGAAGAGCTAGAAGGTCTTACAACTAGGATATAAACTATGTACTAGGGCCGTGGGGAGGAAAAAAAAGAGCAAGATTGGCAGCAGATGCTAGCTCAGGGCCAATCTTCCCCACCTAAAAGCATAGCTTAAAAAAAAAATCTGCTGTTTAAAAGTACTCAGTTTGGTGGTTTTAGTATATTTCACTGTGTTGTCCAACCATCCCCACTGTTCGATTCCAGAACATCTTCGTGACTCTCATAGGAAACCCCACGCCCAGCAGCAGTCACTCTCAATTCCCCCCTCCCCCAGCCCCTGGCAATGACTAATCTACTTTCCATCTATGGATTTGCCTCTTCTGGATATTTCATAGAAATGGAATCGTAAAACGTGACCTTTTGTGTCTGGCTTCTTTTGTTTACCATAATGTTTTTGAGATTTATATATGTTGTAGCAGGTGTCAACACTTCATTCTGTTTTACAGCTGAATAATATTCCATTGTACGGGTAAACCACAGTTTGTTTATCCATTCATCCGTTGATGGACGTTTGGGTTGTTCCCACTTTTTAGACTATTATGAATAATGGTGCCATGAATAATTTCGTGCACGTTTTTGTGCGAACATACGTTTTCAATTCTTTTGAGTATCTCAAATGATTTTTTGTAAGTGTCCTAAGTAATTCCTGTGGCCGGGGGGTAGCAACCCTGGCTGAGGCTCAGAGACGCCCTCACTTTTACCCACTTGAGGGCGTCCCAGGACTTACAGGCGTCACCAGTGTGTCAATACCCCACTGCCCTCTCCTTCAGATGAGACAGCCATGTCAGTTGGGGTGGAGGAGGCTCAATTGGTCCCCTGAGAAACGAGGGGCTCAGGAGATGGCCAGCCACGTGTGTGCATATGTAACAAGACTCCAGAGTGTGTACATGGCCATCTGTCCATGGGGCTCAGAACGGGGCTATTCCCTTGCTGCCTCGGGACTCAGAAGCCCAGGATTTCCAGGTCTGCCTGCATTCTTTCATATGAGTTGATATATGTCTATGATGTCAGTGGAACCCCCCCCCAGATGTGCCCCTCCACACAGGACGCAACCTGGACACCTGCATTGTATGGGCCCCCCCACACCCCACTTTATATGCATCCTTCCCCCACTCCCACCACAATTGACATAAGATCGTGTTGGCTGATTTTGTCAGTCAGGAATTGAGAATTTGGGTTGAGACCAGAAATAGGGCCAGGTTATTCTATTCTTCTTGGAGGGCATAAACTAGCCCAGGAGCCGCCCCCTCAATTTCGGTTCTTATTAAGCTGGAGCTTGATGGTTTCTATATATGTATGACCCCATATGCTATCATTAGCATCTTAGCATTCTTCCTTCCATTAATATATTATATTAATATAATTCTTTCCAGCGGTGTGCTGGAGCTGGCTCCTATGGGCTTGGCTAGCCAGTTGTGTACATCTACCCAACTCCTCTTTCAGTGACATCTTGAGGTAGCTTGAAATCAGCCATGATGGGGGTCTTTCCACCACGGAAATTGGCAAATGCTACAGTTGAGGGATTTTCTTTTCAGAGACTTGGGTGTTAAATGTTTATCCTGTTTACCTAGTTGATTTTACATACAAGACATCGGTTTACCCATTCACGTGCCTGCCAACCATCTAACACTCTCCTTAAGAATACCAGGAGCTGGGCCGGCCCCGTGGCCAAGTGGTTAAGTTCACACGCTCCACGTCGGCGGTCCAGGGTTTCACTGGTTCGGATCCTGGGCGTGGACCTAGCACCACTCATCAAGCCATGTTATGGTGGCATCTCGCATAGCAGGGCCAGAAGGACCTAGAACTATGTACTGGGGGGCTTTGGGGAGAAGAAGAAGAAAAAGAAGATTGGCAACAGATGTTAGCTCAGGTGCAAATCTTTAAGAAAAAAACAAAAAAGAAAGAATACCAGGAGCTTACGTCCTGGTAAATAAAGACAGATGATATATAAGTAAACATGTAAACAAACAAGATCATTCTAGGTAGATCATATGGTATTTCTACTTTTATTTTTTTGAAAAATCTCCGTACTGTTTTCCATAGTGGCTGCACCAGTTTGCACTCCCACCAGCAGTGTGCAAGCGTTCCCTTTTCTCCACATCCTCTCCAGCACTTGTTATTTCTTGTCTTGTTAATTATAAGCCATTTTGACGAGTGTGAGGTGATATCTCAGTGTAGTTTTGATTTGCATTTCCCTAATGATTAGTGATGTGGAACATCTTTTCATGTGCCTGTTGGCCATCTGTATATCTTCTTTGGAAAAATGTCTGTTCATATCCTCTACCCATTTTTTGATTGGGTTGTTCATTTTTTTGCTGTTGAGTTGTAAGAGTTCTTTATGTATTTTGGAAATTAACTCCTTTTCAGAGACAATGTGATCTAGCTATTCCACTACTGGGTATTTATCCAAAGAATGTGAAATCAATAACGTAAAAAGATTTATGCACCCCTATGTGCGTTGCAGCATTATTCACAATAGCCAAGATGTGGAAACAACCCAAGTGCCCTTCTATGGATGAATACATAAAGAAGATGTGGCATATATATACTGTGGAATACTACTCAGCCATAAAAAAGACAAAATCATGCCATTTGCAACAACATGGATGGACCTTGAGGGTATTATGCTAAGTGAAATAAGCCGGACAAAGAAAGACAAACACTGTATGATTTCACTCCTATGTGGAAGAGAAACAAACACATGGAGAAAGAGAACAGATTAGGGAAGTGGGTTGGGGGAGGGTAAAAAGCATAGAGAGGCACATATGTATGGTGACAGATAAAAACTAGACTTGGTTGTGAACACGATGCAGTCTATACAGAAACTGAAATACAGTGATGTACATCTGAAATTTACACAGTGTTAGAAGCCGATATGACCTCAAAATAATAATTAAAAAAAGAGATAATTGGGGATGGCCCTGTGGCCTAGTGGTTAAGTTCAGCACACTCTGCTTAGGCGTCCTGGGTTCATAGATTCAGTTCCTGGGCACGGACCTACACCATTTGTTGGCAGCCATGCTGTGGTGGTGACCCACATACAAAATAGAGGAAGATTGGCACAGATGTTAGCTCAGGGTGAATCTTCCTCAGCAAAAAAACATAATAATAATTGTAGGTAGTGATAAAGTGTGAAGAAAATTACATGAAACAGCTGATATGTTGAATATACTCCTTTTATCCCTTTTTTTGTTGTTCATATCATATCATGAACAATTCCCCAAGTTTTAAAAAGGTCTCGGAAGCATTCTTCTGAATGGCTGCACAATATTTCTTCCTTGGGAGAACAGTCTACTTTATCGAAGCATTCCCCTCCACACACTGTAGGATGTTGATCAGCATCCCTGGCTTCTACCTCCCAGGTGCCAGTAGCACTGCCCCCTACACCAGTTATAACCAAAAATGTCTCCAGATTTTGTCCCCTGGCAGGGGGGGCAAAATCACATTGACTTTAAATTGACAAATTAAAGGCTTCCAGTAGGGACATGGGTCTGAGTGTGGCCACTGGACCAGCAGCATCAGCACCACCTGGGAGCTTGATAGAAATGCAAATTCTCAGGCTCCTCTCCAGAACGTGAAATCAGAGTCTCCAGGGTGGGGCCAGGCAATGGGTGTTTTAACAAGCCCTCGGGGCTTCTGATGCATGCTCCTGTTAACAGGGGGCTGAGGATGAAGGCTTTCGAAGTCAAAAGAGTGTTTGAGCATGGGTGGCATCCTGCAATGTGTGGTTGTGATTGCATCATGAGGATGTTTTCGCCTCCGGCTGAGCCAGGGCTGGTGTGGGTGATTAGTGCAAATTAGCTGAGTTCAGGTGTCCTTTTGACTTAAGTACCACCTTTCAGCTCAGGATTACCAAACACCACTTATTTTCACCCGAGGGAGGCTCTGGGAGGCTCCAGGGCCAGAGAGAAAGTTAAGAATAGAAAGCAAATGGGTCACATGACTCTAGGCTCTAACCACCACCGTTGTGTTTCACCACCGCCTATAAAGCTTGGTTCTTTACATAAAGAGCATTTTGGTCTTTTCAGAAACTGAAGAACCACAAAATGCAAGACCAAGCCAAGATGGTCACGAGTGGCTACCTCTCGCTCTTTTTACCGTGTTGTACCTCCAGCTACCATGGATTCAGTTCAGAAATATGGGTTCAAGAGTTTTCTCCCATGGTTCCTAAATGGGGGCTTACCCTTGCCCATGGCTGGAAAAGATCCTCTGGTGCAGTGGTTCTCAGCCGGCACAGCACTGCCCCATCCC